CTATGTTAAATACTAAATTTTAAACCCTATTGCTTAAAATGAATTGACCTTTGTTGCTTCTTCTCTGTGTTTGAAAAAATCCATGTTTCAATTTTTATGCTCAGGTTGTTTAGTTTCAAGATGTCACTGCAGTTTGCATGGTTGCATTGATTCAGCAGACAAAACTTGACAGCAAATGACACATTGCGGTTTTTCAATACCAGAGGTGATGATCCTGGTAAAGCCAAGTTTAATGTAAGACTCGAGATCCTTTTGTTTTTTAGCGGTTTTAGCAGTACAAGTGGCCATTATTTTCAGGAAAAAGTTTGCACTTATGTCTCTGACTGTTAATTAATAAAGTACTTGTTCAGCTGCGAATCAAGCCCTCTAATGTTGTCTCAGTACCAGGGCCAGCCATAGGAAAAATCGCACCCTTTCTTTGGAGGTGGAGCAGCGCTGGAGGTGGAGTAGAGTTGGGGGTGGAGCTGGGCTGGGGGAGCTTGGGGCTGGCAGCCCGGTGCAGGGCTCGGGGTTGGAGCTTGCAACCCCCCACATAACCGGGTTGTGACCCCCTGAGGGGATGCAACCACCAGTTTGAGAACCAATGCCCTAGATGACCCTGGCTCCGGAGGAGGGGAGCTCCTGGCCACGTGGCTTGTCCTTACCCAGCTCTCACTAAACAGGCCTGAATCGTCCTTGCCTCGGCCTGGGAAGAGGCAGGGCGATTGCCCGGGGGGCAGCTCTCCTGGGGCACGGGGGTCTCACTCTGGACTGGATGGAGGGACGGGGTGTGTGTTCTCCACTCAGCCACTGACTGGACTCTAGTCTGAGTTCACACTCATCCTGCTGGTCCTTCCTGGCCCTGAGCTCTCTGGCCTGGGGGCAAGGGCCCATCATGACAGAAGCACTGCTGCCCCCTCCTGCCGCTTGGTGGCTGGCCGGGCCCTATTCTCGAGGGCTGAGTCTGTGCCATCACACGGCGTCTTCTCCTTCCCAAATGAGGAGAAGAGTCTGCAGCACCGCAACTCCCCGCCCCCGGAGCGAGCCCAGCCGCCTGCTCCCGGACTGGGACAGATGGAGCCTGCAGGCCCAGGGCTGGCTGGCACTTGGAGACTGCAGCCTGCATGTGGCTGGGGCACTGGAGCCCATGCTGCGCTGGAGCCTCCGGCCTGCATCTGCTGCTGGAGTCCTGAGGCCAGCCTGGTTCCACTCGGTTAATGGCCAGGGTTCTGCTGGGGTCAGCAGCCATTCTACATCTCCCAGTGTGCAGTGGGACCTGGCCCAGGCTTACCTCAGGGTGGAGTGACAGCCACTAGGCCCAGCACCCTCCATCAGCCAGTACTTGACCCAGGCCAGCGCTGCTGCAGTTCCAGAGGGGCCCACAGCTACCCGCTGTATCAGCTACAGGCCGCAGCTGCTCACTCCAAGGCCCTGCATTGCTCCAGGGACAGCAGGGCCCAGTCCAGCAGCCTCCGCTGGTAGGGGGTGGGGATGAGGGCAGGATACTGGGGCAGGATTACCCCAGCCCCCTCCCCGCCACACACACGAAGGCCCATGGCCCTTCCTTGCTGCTCCCTTCACTTGCCCTCTGCCTGCCTCATGGAGGGCCACGGGGTGAAGCTGGCAGCCAGGGCTCTACACCCTTCCCCCATGGCCCTATGCCTGCACGCTCCTTGCTGTGTGCCAGGGCTCAGCTCCTGGCCAGGTGCTGCTGCATGACCCTCTCAGGTGAGGGGGGGTTCCCAAGAGGAGGTGTCTGAGGGGTGAGGCAGATGCCCCCAAGCCCTTCTAGGTCCAACCCCAGCTTCTGCCAGCTTCTCTTCCCCTGGATCACCACCTGGGGTCCTGAACACTGCACTGAGTCCAGAACCTGGGATCCTGTGTCTCCACACCCAGACTGAGTGCTTTGGTGAAAACACTGCCTCTCCCTCCTCCCCTACATGCACTGGGTATAGGGGCAGTGTCATTTCTAGGGTTACCATATTTCAACAATCAAAAAAGAGGACACGGGGTGCCACCCTAGCCCCAACCCAGCCCCGCCCTCTCCCACTTCCCACCCCCCTCAGAATCCCCCTACCCCCTACCTGTCCCCTGACTGCACTCTCCTGAGACCCCCTCGACCCTAACTGCCCCCAGGACCTCACCCCTCTCTAAGTCTCCCTGCTCCCTGCCT